TAAGAAGATTGGCCTAGTTCCAGATTGATGGTTGTCCAGCTCATTATTCGAGAATAGTTAGAAACTGGCTGGACGAAAATTATCCAGAAAGATGGATCGGCCGTGGAGGACCACTCGCCTGGCCTCCACGATCCCCTGACCTCAATCCATTAGATTTCTTTGTGTGGGGATTTATAAAAGCAAAAGTGTACCAGACTCCCGTAACCACAAGAGATATGCTAATAGACAGAATCAGGAATGCATGCCTTATTTGAATAATGCTATACCACGTTCGATCATTTGTAGATGTGAATTGTGTATTGAACAATTGGGTTTACATTTCGAGCAACTACTTTAGATTTTGTATGTTTGTCCTAACTGTCCAATAGCATTTTAGTTGTAAATAATTAATTTAATTTGTTAAAAATAATATTGGAAAATTAAACAAATTAAAATTCTGTTTTTTTGTGTTTATTTGGAGTTAGGAATTATTGCTGTGTTTAAAAACACAGTCTAAACGATCATCTTAATTACTTTCGATGGCCAAATCGAAAATGTAAAAAAAATATTATTTTCCCATAAATAATTAAAAATGCATCGAACCTTAAAAATCGAAATATCTCAAAAACGGCTAAGAATCAGTTTTTTTATTCAAAAAGCATAAATTGCACTAAGAAAAAATTTTCGGTCATTTTAATACACTACAGGTACAGTAGAGAGCGCCCTCTAGCGGCTACAGTAAAACTATGCCCATGGTTCGTTTTATCGTACTAAAAAACCCTTGTATACCAATTTCACTGTTATACATCAAATATCGTTCGAAATATTTAAAAAAAAACTATTTTAGAAAGTAAATTTAAACACCCTGTATTTCGGAAGCCACGCATTTTCCGACCCATGTTTATATAGACTTTATGCATTAATTTTAAAAGTTCTATCGAATCTTAAAGTTATGCAACAATAAACTGAAACACCCTGTATAAGATGTTGATATCACTGAAAAATGATCTTTTTAAGATGGCTGAGGAGTTACAATAGATCAATTTTCTCAACTTCATCACACTAGCCTCTTTTAAGGTTTTCACGCTCAAGTATGCAAATAAGCCTGTGAGTAAATAGCTATGTAAAAACGGAAATTGCACTCTTGCGCTATCCAAAAAGTTGGGATTGATCGTAAGGATGCTGCGTTTAAAAAATGAATACGGTGGGGAGGGTGGGGAAGGGTTGGCACCGGCTCGGCCGCATCAGTGCTTCTGAGAACAAATGCCTTTAAGACAGTTGGAGAGGGGTGGAGGGTTGTCTGCGAATAATTAAAGAACGAATAGAAAAGCCCGGTTTCTGATCGATGTCAAACAAACATTTTCTGTAATAAAATAAAAAGGTCAAGTAGGTTGAATCTGCACGTCCCACACAACGCCGTTATCAGTTCTTAAAGGATTATGTTCAGCACAAATTAGACCACCTGAGAAAAAAGTCAGCCAATTCGGTCAGACATGACGGCGCGGTCAAAGCTTAGGAAACATGCTGCGTGAGGCCGAAATACGTATGATACCATACCAGAACAACAGAACACTCGCGAAGGCCGACGTCTGTCGAGAATATTTTTCTGTTACATAGGAATATATGATGTGTGAAATATGTCTCATAGGTGCGTAGAATTACCACGGTTGGGAGCGTATAAATGTACTAGCATAAAAAAATTGAGTTGAACCCTACCCATTCCCCTACAACCCCCACCCCCAAGTTTTTCACCACTGATATTTTTCAAAAAGGATCGGGATTCTCTGGAACGTCAAAAAACGAAGTTTGGGCGATTGTTACTTTTTTCGTTTTAGCCCGTTTTCTCCTCCGCCACTGGACCGACATTCAAAAACTACCCGGATTTTGCGTCCATGGTATAGTAGTAACATTGTGTACAAATTTTCTGAAGTTATAGATAAGATTACGGACATACGGACTGACAGACAGACCAATGGAAATGAGTAATATGGTTTTTCGTGTACATCTCATATAACATTCGAAAAACATATCTCATTTTCGAAAATTCTCGACATTACAATACTTCCTTGCCAGTCTGCGTGGGAAGTGAAATTCTTTTTTGAAACTATGGTAGGTGTTACCGCACGTTTCAAGAATTATATTGCTAAGGGCGGACTTGGAAATACATGAAGATTTTATATCATCATATTTCGGTTACAAAAAAATGTCGAAGTTGCGGATAGTTGTTCATGTGGTGAAAGATGTACCGGGTGCGCCACCTTTTATGTGGGTATTGAAACATCGAATGCCTTTGATATTTACCAACCAAGTGATTTGGTTATACGTGTTTCTGAAACGTCAATTTACTACAATTTTAGTCATGAATCGCTTTACACCGAAACAACGCGCCGAAATAGTCACAATGTACATTGAAAATCGTCGTTCAGTTGTGACGTAACGTGCATATCGTCGAAAATATCGTGGCAAACAGGCACCGTCGTTTGGTTTCGAATTTTCTTGGGTATGGGACAGTGAGAGATCGTCAACATACCGTTCATCAACGACCAAGACGTTCCAATGAATTGGTTGAAGCGGTCAGAGACAGCATTGCCCAGAACCCAAAAGTGTAGTATCGTCACCGCGCTCACCATTTTGGCATCAGTGGAACCACGTTGCGGCGCATTTTGAAGGATGATTTGCATTTGTTGCCTTATAAGGTGCAGTTAACTCAAAAAATAGTGTCAACTGACCGTCCATGTCACTTGGAATACGGCCAAACAGTCGCTCGCATGGCTGATGCTAAACCTGATTTTTGGAAGCAAATTGTGATGACCGACGAGGCCTATTTCACGCACTCTGGCGGCGTTAATAAGCAAAACTGCCGCATTTGGGGGACGCAAAATCCATAAGAGACCCACGAAATGCTGTTGCATGACCGGAAAGTGACTGTTTGGGCCGGCGTTTTCGCCAAAACCATCATTGGGCCATTTTTCTTCAACGAAAAGGAAACAGTCGATGGAAATCGATATCGGTGGATGTTGGCTCATTATATCTGCCCACAAATGCGTGAAAAAGGTCTTGATGGTTACTGGTTTCAACAAGGCGGTGCGCCATGCCACACTGCAAATAAAACAATCCAGTTTCTGCAACTAAAATTCCATGGACGTCTGATGTCAAAAAGAGGTGACATTCACTGGCCACCCAGGTCTCCAGATTTGACCCCACCGGACTTCTTCTTGTGGGGTTATTTGAAAAGTCAAGTGGACGCCAGCAAGCCCCAGACCACTGAATAACTCAAGGCAAACATTCGTACCGCAATCGCGAGATGCGCGAAAAAGTAATGGAAAACGCAGCAAAACGGGCACATTTTGTTTTGGCCAATAAAGGTGGCCACTTGATAGATGTTGTGTTCAAAAACTAGTCCCAATAAATTGTAAAGGACCATATTTAACAAAAATACCCGATATATAGAAATCAGTTTTTCGTTTTCAAAGTTATTTCATGTTTACATACCGACATAAAAGATGGCGCACCCTGTAGATATGTAGGTTTCATAACAATGTGTAATAATAAATAGCTGGTTAACTTGTCTAGTCCGTGCTAACATTATTGCAAACATTATCGGGTTCATTAGTTAACCTTGATTAAGTTAATATATGAATAAGTGACCCTCTTCTTAAACCAACATTTCCATGGTCTTCTTGATCTCTTCCTTTATGAAACTTTTAACTTTTTATCTAAACATACTGCAGCTACTGATAGTAATAGCTCGTCTTGCTCCATCATTAAAGTTCCCATACTTGTCACTCTCAACACTGTATTGACGGATTTGGGGCATTTCAAACTGATCATAAAACGGTTACATCAATTCAACTCTATTTGTGCAAATTGACATTGACATGCACAAATAGACTTGCGCAAGTTTGCATGAGCGTGAAAACGAGCCATTCAACAGAGCGCATGTCTGTAAGGTGCAGTGACGTGACCCACCATAGCAGAGTCGAATTAGAGATGCGCTACTTCAAAGTTCAATCAATGTGAAAGGGTGTCAAGATGAACATGCTAGATGTTCGTCGTGAGGGTGGATGTACCAGCGATTGAATCAAGAGCGGGGGGGGGGGGGGTCGCGGCGGCGGCTTCAGGCTTAAGCAGGGCTTTTGAGAGCAGATGCCCTTGTGATAATTAAAAAGCGGGGGTGACAATTGAGGGTTGGGTGGCCGTGTCCACGGTTCATGAGACCAATTCTTGAAAACAGGGGAATAGATCAAAGGAGTGATTCTCGTACTTTTCGGGAAACCATATTTCTAAACACTAATAGAATAGCCGCTCTCCGAATCATTATCGGGAGAAACCGTACGAAATTATCTCCGTCGTCGAAGAAGACAAAGTTATCTATTATTTTGCCGAAAATGGATGCATTCGTAAACTTGTTTGACGAATGTCAACAGCTGTCCGAATTTGAGATCATTCTCCAGGAAACAGAACCTCGTTCAAGTATAGGGGTCTAGGTCTTCGAATGTTCGCTCGAAGATAAAGGAATATGTATAGCTTATTGAAAAAAATGGCAGCCTTGGGCGACTAGTTGGGGGGGCGCGCGCGCTCCTCTTCTCTATAGATCCTCCAATGAACATGATTCACTTCACAGACAATTTTGGTATCACGAGTTAAAACATATACATAATTTTTTGAATTTGCAAAGTTTAAATTCACCACCAATCTCACAACATCGAAATCCATCCATAGCCGACTCTGTGATACGAAATAAGATATAGAAAAGCGCCATCTATCACCAGAATCGACCACTGCGGAGAGCGCATAGCTGATAGATATCTCAGTTCACGCTATCACTTGGCCGCTAGATGACTGACGATTCTGGCAGTAAAGTACTCGTAGATGCGGTCTACTTGCCATTGAATAAACAAAACGTGAAGCATGTTTTGTCTGTGATACGAGTCACGGTACCTCACCTCACGGACCTGCGCGCGCCATACTACTCTCGGCATATTTTTAAACAGAGACAGAAAGCGAATAATGCTTCTTACCTGGAGAGTTGCTGTCACCTTCCTTGCCAGTGGTCGCTACCTTCTCCGGAACGATTTCAAATTTCTTCCCGGCACCGTCAGTATTTTTGAGGGTAATTTTAAGTGGCGGTAACTGGCACCTTTCTAAGACCACGTAGGGCTGCCGGATGTGGTGGAAAAGGTGCTTGTACAGGAAGTGCTTCTCGGTGAAGTTGACGTTGCAGTCCCAACAGCGAAGGGGAGCGTAGTCGTCATCCGAATCTGCAATAATGAAGGTCTCAATTATAAACATTTTAACAGGCTCAGGATGTGATAAAAAGTGTAAAATAAAAAAAAATGCGTCAAGTAGGTTGACTCATCACGCAACGCTGTCAGTTAAGTCAGCCAAACAGGCCCATATATAATTAGTACATACTCCATAGTCCCTATCTATTTGATAACGGTAACGCTAGTTGTTTCCCTACCCTAGGTATCGGCCATCTGACATCGCTGCTGGACCACACCAGTCAAACACGTCATATGCACCAGCCACAATATAATATCCCTACCGGCGAACCGCTAGGGATTCGCGAACCACCGCTTGAAAAACCCTGCTCTAAAGGATCTAAACCATTAATTCCCAAAGTGGTCTATATCGACCCCTAGGGGTCTATGACAACCTGCAAGGGGTCTACGTCAGCGAAAAAAATTTGGGGGTCGATGAAATGAATATGGGGGTCCACGATAGTGGATCTCAACACATACACTGATAGTACCTATTTACTAACAACATACTATCATATCAAAACATATACATTATTTATAAAAGTACCTATGAAGTAAAAAATTTATTATATATGTTTATAAAATTGCGTAAGTTGTAGGATGTTGGTATTCGCTTTGTGGTCGCAATACATTTTGAACTTGTAAAAACCTGAGAGTCGCAGTCTCAGAGCTTCGCTACCTTGCACTGACTTGTTCAATTCGTCACTCTATAAATACGAATGTGGGACAAATACGTTTATTCGAAAGGAAAGTGCTAAGAAAATATTTTAAAAAATATGAACAGATAGTATATCACACAAATTATAGTGAGTCAGTGTTATTTTGTTTGAGAGTGCTGGAGAAAAGTAAGTACATTATTTTTTATTAAATTTTAGTTTTGTACTCGTAGGTAGCAAAGATAGATAAATTACGCCAATCATGACTTTAGTTATTAGTAGTTAAATATTCAATCATGCAAAATTACACGAGTACTCCTCAATAGTTTCTTTTTGAAAGTTTTAGCAATCGGTAATATAATAAGAAGATGTTCGAATTATGGAATGTTTTCGGAAAAATCAAAAAATATTTTTAATATACAGCTGCTGGATTTTCTGTCTTATTTAAATAATTTAATTTTGCCCACAGATGACTGATGCCATGTCCGAATCTACAAAGAAATGTAGACAGTACAGTGTTGATTATTTGAAATTGGGCTTCATTCCATCATTGCCGGACAAACAATCGCCTTTGTGCCTTTTATGCAACAAAGTTTTGGGCAATGACGCTATGAAACCATCTAAACTGCAAGATCATCTGACAAGATGCCACCCTGATGAAACAGAGAGATTTGAAATACTTTCAAACACTCGAAGATAAATTTCAAAAGACATTGGACAGAATGTTCGCTTCGACGTCACAAAGAAATGATGATGGTTTGCGGGCGTCTTACAATATCTCGTTACCTATAGCAAAATCCGGAAAACCGCATACTATCGGAGAGAAGTTAATTTTGCCAGCCGTTGAAGAGGTTTTAAAAACTGCATCTGATATCATTAAAAGAATTCCCTTAAGCAACAATACTGTTGAAAGACGTATTGATGAAATGAGTTCTGATATTGAAAGCTTCTTATGTAATTATTTGCAAACGACCCATTTCTCTATACAACTGGACGAGTCAACTTTACCTGATAATACAGCATTATTATTGGCATATGTTCGTTTTATTATGAATCAAGAAATCTACGAAGAACTGCTCTTCGCAAGAACTTTGATAACCGACACTAAAGGTGAATCAATATTTCATGTTTTGAAGGATTACTTCTTTGAAAAAGCAATTCCTTTATCGAATATAATATCAGTAGCTACAGATGGAGCACCTGCCATGGTTGGACGTTATCGTGGATTTATAAGCTATTTAAAACAAAATGTGTCAGGGGTGTTAGCAATACATTGCGTCATCCATCGACAACATTTAGTTGCTAAAAATTTGAGTGTTAGATTGTATGAATCACTTCATTTAGTCATTGATGCAGTAAACCGAATCCGAAGCAACGCGTTGAATACGCGGTTATTTGCGCAGTTGTGTGAAGAAAATGACGAACACTTTCATCAATTACTCCTTCACACTGAAGTACGCTGGCTGTCGAAAGGCTTATCTTTGTCAAGATTTTTTGCACTTTTTGAGACTATTTTAGAATTTCTGGATACTAAAGATAAAATTTTAAAAGAAAATTTAATGAAGAGGAAAACAGACATCGCCTATTTAACAGATTTGTTTACAAAATTTAATATGGTTAATTTGCAATTACAAGGCGACAGTTTAAATTTGATTAAAACAAAGTCCATCTTATCAGCGTTTCTTGCCAGAGTTAAACTAATGAAGCAAAATATTGGACGGGGCGAATTTTCTCAGTTCCCCAATTTGTCACAGACAAGCTGCCAGGAAGACGACGTTTCAACTTACGTTCAACATTTAAATGCCCTCTATTCAGATTTTGAATCTAGGTTTGAGGAAACGAATGTCATAATACAAGAGGAACTGACCTAACTAAGTACAAACGAAGAACTTAAGGTTCAGTTTAAAAACGGATATCAGCAATTCTGGCTGCAAAACAACATACCCGTTACTTATCCCGTATTATGGAATATAGCTAGGAAATTTTTAATTTCCTTTCCATCGTCATACCTAGTGGAAAGGGGGTTCAGCGCTGTTACCAATCTCCTAACGAAAAAAAGAAACAGACTGGACATCATTAGCCGATGAGATTTAAGATTAACCCTTACAAAATTGATGCCAAGTGTTGATAATTTATTATTAAAGCATCAGGTTCATCCTTCTCACTAAAAATATTGACTTATTGCTTATGTTATTTTATTTATAGTTTATTTTATGTTTATTGGTGTCTGACCAATAAATGCCCGCATTGGGAATAAGTGCCCGCATTGGGAATAAGTGCCCGCATTGATTTTTTTAAAGAACCCCCCTTTATAGAAAATATTTTTTTTTAAATTATTCTGAAAATTCAAGGATAGGTACACACTAAAATTCGTTAATTTTTTGCCTATTTTTAGATAACTTAAACGTATAAGAAGCGGAATTTAATCAAACTAACAGTGAAATTATTGTAGAACATACGTTTATGTTATAATTAATAAACGAACTCGCTTATTGTACTATTTTAAGTAAAAAACTTTTTTTGTATTATTCTTCACTTTTTTTTATTTTATCCCTCTTATTTTTTTTTTCAATGCGGGCACTTATTGCCAATTCGGGCACTTATTGGTCAGACACCTGTTTATTTAATGTTACGTATATTTTACATAACAGATACAAAATTTTATTTTGAGTAGTTTTAATTTAAATTCAATTAATAAATGTATAAATTAACATGTGTTTTTACTTTAAGTTTTTAACACTAAACTTCACTACGGTTAGAAATTTACAGGAAATCAATATCAGGTAAGTAGGGGGTCTACCCAACACGGAAAAACATGGCAAGGGGTCTACGACACAAAAAAGTTTGGGGAACTCTGTTCTAGATCATATTGATCCTTCGCGGGTGTATTCGAGTATTCAAAACGTCGCCTTCATTTAAATCAGAGCTGAGATGGTTTGTTTATATCGTACACAAGCCGTCTGGGTGGACCAAGTAGAAGCCCAAGATAGCCCCAAATGTTGCAAATTTAGGTCTAAGAAACTAATGTTTTTGAATCGAACAACTTCAAGCAGCAATTACAAACAAAAAAAGTTGATTTTAAATGCCGTACCAAGTAAATATTTTTTTCTTCAATTAAGTTTTCGGTACTGTTTCACCGCAAATGAACTTTATTTCAAACGTAGTTGTTTCTGAAGAGGAAAGTCTCAACTTTCAGAATTGTTAATTTAAAATTTATTTTACATCGGCTCTGACTATACGAGGAGGTACCCTAAAATAACCGGAATAGCATTACAGTGGGCGGAGCTTGTGTGGTACACATTTCTGCCCCTAGAGGCGTACAGCGCGAATCATTACCAGTTCAGTGCCAACTGATTTGTCGATCTGGCTTGTTTCGTTCCTCTGTAGTCATTATTTTTGCTAGAGCTGTTTCATGCTTGTTTCGTTTTTTACGATGACAAGCTTCAGTGAGCAACGTGCAGATGTGAAATTTTAATTTCTAATTGGTAAAAATGCTGCTGAAACTGTTTTAATGTTGAAAATAGCTTACAAAGATGATGCTATGGGAAAAGCTCAGGTGTACGAGTGGTTTGTTCGATTTAAAAGTGGCGACATGTCGATTGATGACAAACCTCGCTCTGGACGTCCATCAACTGCCCGAATCGACGAAAATGTTGACAAAATTCGAGAGCTTGTGCTATTTGGAGGTTTATAAGACGATTGCGAAACGGTGTTCGGCAAAAAATACCCGATTTGTGGCAGTCAGGAGACTGGTTCTTCCACCACGATAATGCACCTGCGCACACAGAGATCTCTGTTCGACGGTTTCTGGCTAAAAATGGCATGGTTCCGCTGCCTCACGCACCTTATTCGCTTGACCTGGCTCCGTGCCACTTTTTCTTATTTCCACGAATAAAAAGGGGCATGAAAGGACGCCGCTTTGTTGACATTGAAGAGGTCAAGACAAAATCGAGGGAGGAGCTGTCAGACATTTCTAAGGAAGACTTCAAAAAATGTTTCGAGCAGTGAAAGCACCGGTGGGACAAGTGTATTAGTTATAGTGGACAGTATTAAGTTCTTTTTCTTAAACGAAGGGTGCATTTTATTACATTTTCATAACTCTTCTCTCATAGATAGTTGCCAATAGAATGTAACATTATGTATCAAGCACCCCACGCTTTTTACTCTGAATTGAATTATTCTATTAATAACTTAAATTTTATTATAATTTCATTTTGAGGTCAAAAATTATGATTGATTGTTCGACCAACTACTACTGTAATATACACTCTTTGTAATTAATAATTATTTTCTACTTTTTAGTTCGGTTAGCGTGTTTTTTTAGTTTTTTAAACTATTATTTATGTTTCATTTTTTATTTCGATTTATCAATTAGTTTTTTAATTCATATTCGTTATTTATATTTTAATCGATAAGACTTCATAATTAGGAATTTCTTGATCGTATTAAATTCCTTCTTTATCGACTGTAAATTCAAAGCTTTGCTGTGCACCAAATTATGTTCCGTAAAATAAATAGATTGAAATTGTTCTGATCATTTTGTTGTGAATAAGAAGCCTTTTGTGCATCACGGTTATCGTATAATATATTATATGAATATTATAAACAGTAATTTGCTGTATTAGACTCATTAGTACATACGCGTATAAGGAATGAACAAGGTGAGCATGCACTACCTTGAAAAAGTATCTGCTTCCGTTGTGCTGTGCCGAGTACCCGAGCTCTATCTCTTTTACTCCTTTACAGAGGATTTATAAAAGAATTTCCTAATAAGGATAATGGAAAACTGTTATCAGATTATTGCATTGTCATCGGTCCTTGATACGTGTGCGAAGTTTCAAATTAATCAAACTTCTGGAAATTGGTGAGAATTATGGACAAAGATTCCGTTTCATACATACCTACACCAAGCTTATAAAAAGCGTGTTAAAAATAGCGTTACTAAGTCCTCAGCTCAAACTTTCTAATAAGCATAAAGCCTGTGAGATATCTGCCTGTTTATCGTGACTGTCGGACGCATAAAACCACAGAAAAATATCGATGACTTTGTTTCAATCAAAAGTAATTCCTTGTTCAGTCGACTCAAAATTGATGACAGTTTTCTCGACGAGTATCCAACTTCTTTGCCACATTTTTTTCAACATGCTAAGGATAAGGTGCAAACACTGAAAGCAGTTAACGGTACGGCAGAAAGAGTGGTCAAGTTGATGCAAGATTTCACTGGCTTAGGCCCGTATCGTCAGTCGTCCCTACAATTGTAGGGCGCCTTTATGGCCTCCTTGATTGTCATAGTTTTCTGCTTCTCCGTGTCAGAACTTTATTTTGAGGTTATGTCACAAACATCTATTTGCATCAAATTGTGCTTGCTTTTGAGTTATATGATGTTTTATCAGCCTGAAATTTCCTACAATTTAAAAAGAAAACATATCCTCACAATAGGAGAGCGCTGACGCTGACACGGGACAAGTGTAATCTAGAAATTTTTGAAGGAGAGAAAGGAGGATGACAATCAAGGAGGCCATAAACGCGCCCTACAATTGTAGGGACGACTGACGATACGGGCCTTAATCACTGCTGATGAGGGACAAAAATAATTTTTATTACGTTGCGTACAGGAAATAATGTTATTTTAATGATCAATATCTAAGAAATATAAGATACAGATCGAATAAGAATTATGTTTATTAACTTTCAAATTTAAAGTTTGATCGAAAGATCTGGATATCGTTCCCCAATCTCAATAATGTTTGTTAGAGTCGAATGAAAAAAAGCAGAGGGTTTACGTAACTCATTCGAATAAAAATTTAGTTGGCCGTCATAAGCAGCCCAACTAGCAAAGTGGTGCTATAAGCTTTTAGTAAAAGAACTGTTCAGCCGTAAAAGCTCTATATTGTTGTTGCCTGAAAATGCTGGCTTAATGTTGTGTGGAATGCAAATTTGCTTTCTGCAGCATACTTGCTCTAAAATGAGGTGTTTGAAATATTCTTATAGCATAGTTATACAACACCTTATAGGACGAATTTTGAACGGTTGCATAAACATTTATACAACTATTTCATACGGCATATTTGCGCGGTAGTGAAAATAGTTGTGCTGTGGCATCCATGGTAACGTTTATACAACAAACCCGAGCCTTGTTGTTTTGGTGTGCACATTTACTACTTTACCCAACAAATTGCTCCCAACGGAAGCACTTATACAACTGTCGTTTAGTAACTGTTAAAGGCTGTACATCAGCAATATTACAACTTTTATAGTACAAAATTGCTGTGCTCGGCATACATTCGTTGCTAAATATGTTGGTATACAACTTCACCTTAACCTAACTTTCTGCTATCATCTTTTTAGTTAAAATGCCATAACCAATATTTTAAGACATGCATATTGGTTTAAAAGGTTTTATCAACTGTTCAAACAGGAGATATAGATAGGGTACACATTCTGGGTCATTCGACTCTGTCCGTATTTCATTTCAGAGATTTGTCAAATTGTTGTATAACACTTGCAGACACCACCAAAATATTCTAATAAACCAAAGACAACATGGACGATGCCATGATTATACATAACCACTCGCCATATTGGGCAAAAATATATTCCTCTATTGAAAATTAATTAATTATGTTTCAGTTCGACATTAAATATATATTTATATATATACAGGGTGACTTCGAAGTTGAGTCATTTATTTTAACAGTGAGTAGATCTGATCAAAAGAAATATTTTTTTCCTTTACCATTTTTCTGGTAAAATTAAAGTAACAAAGTTATAGCCCTTTGGAAGTTTGAGTACCGCCCTGTCTCAATAATAATATTATGTGCTCGTGTTTGGCAACAACTGATATAATCCGCCTTATCGGTTCATCGCATCGGAAACAAAAAAGCGAAAGAATTTGGAACGATGTTTTTACAATTATTTTACTCAGTTGTATACAGCCAGTGTCAGTTGGTAACGCGTGAGTGAATAGTGGTGTCTGTTACGTGGCTCAAACGAAATAAAAAATGGCACATGTTTATGCAGATCGGTTTCCCAATCGAGTGCAACCAACCCCTTATTTTTACACACATATTTTGGTTTATCTTCCTTCTACAAAAAATTTTAAAAAAAATGTTACCTTGTTTTATAAAGTATCCTCCCGACAAGTATTTCAGTGCGGACCTGTATTTGATCGTGAGGTCTTAGAGCACCGGCATGCCGTCCATATGTGAGGTCTTAAGTCAAATGATTCACGAACCCGTTCTACTACATTAACAAAGGCACGAGGGGTTGGTTGCACTCGATTGGGAAACCGATCCGCATAAACATGTGCCATTTTTTATTTCGTTTGAGCCACGCAACAGACACCACTATCCACTACCGACTGACACTGACTGTATACAACTGAATGAAATAATTGTAAAAACATCGTTCCAAATTCTTTCGCTTTTTTGTTTCCGATGCGATGAACCGATAAGGCGAATTATATCCGTTGTCGCCAAACACGAGCACATAATATTATTATTGAGACAGGGCGGTACTCAAACTTCCAAAGGGCTATAACTTTGTTACTTTAATTTTACCAGAAAAATGGTAAAGGAAAAAAACATTTCTTTTGATCAGATCTACTCACTGTTAAAATAAATGACTCAACTTCGAAGTACATATTATATATATATATATATATATATATATATATAAAGTGATAAACATTGGTGTAATTGTGATAAATATAGGATTTGTGGAAGATTTAACGCAAATAAGTTCAGTTTTTCATCTTAAAAATCTAAACATACTTTTGATCATTATTAAAATATTAATCAAATACGAAGCCCGTACAAATTGCCTAACTACCTTGCACGATAATCGCAAAAAAATTTGCTGCACAAGTAATATCACCGTGTAGAAGTTTATCATATACCTGTGTATGAAATTCACAATGGCCGATATGTAAGTAAACAAGATGACTGTAATATGTGTTAGTTATATATTCTACACTTCGCCTAGAAAATACGTAAGAAATAGTTTGGTTGCAATCAAGTAGAATCATGTAACAGAATAGTTGTATAGTTGACAAAAACTGAATCTTGCACTGACGCAAATGTTCTGTAGCGGCTGCAAGAGGTTTACACTTTTTTTGTATAACTGTTACCTGCCGCCCTTACACAACCTCTTAAATGACTGAAGTGTCCTATTAGGTTTGTCCATTTCGCTTGTATAGCTGTTCTAAGAGCGTTTTGCCAATGTTGTTACAGCATACAATGCTGTGTAAGGAAGACTGTATAATCGTTCTTGCAATTCTCATAGGAGTGGTAATTGTTAGTTGGGAGGGACACCCTGTGGTGCATCATATCTAGACAATTTTCGTACATCCCGGTATCATTACATCGTCAGTGTTACTGAATTGAGATCGGACCATGCGCAAGTAAAGAAGATCACGTATTCCTAAGTAGCTGGTGTTGCTAGAGTCACAGACGTAATTATTATGCGAAATATGTGTGATACGTCTAACAGTGTGAGCGATTTTGATTTGTTCGTTTTTGTCCCTAGTTCCTCCGCCACATGACCGATTTTCAAAAACTACAACCATTTTTTGACCTTGACATAACAGTATTCTTGTATGACGATTTCTTCAAAATCCGAGCGATAGTTATTGGTCAAAGATTAGCGGACAGTCGGAGATGACAATAATATTCCATTTTCATTTTTTTTGCGAATAAAATACTATCTTGCGAGTGGCGTAGGAGTTATACCAAGGAACCTCAACTTCAAATGTGTCCACAGATTTTCTGATGTCAAAGCAAAACCAAACGCACTATTGAGTTATCTTTCAAACAAAACAAAATTAAAATCGATTCAGCCGTTTGGAGACTATAATGTCACGGACAGACACACATGCAGGCTGTAGAAAGGTGGATACAAACCTTTTGAAGGCTGACAGTACATCCCAGTTGGAACACATTGAGCTACCTTAGTACAAAGTCGATTTTTGAGTTACGTGCAATTTTGTAAAATTCTTGAGAAAAGCCTAGATCATGCGATAAACCGCTTGATAAATAATAAAGGGTACATCTTTAGTTCTGCTATTTTTCTCATTTATCTTAATCTTCCTATACAGGGTGTTAGGGAAATAATATTCGTAACTTTAAGAGGTGATTCCTTGCATTATTTTAAGCAAAAAAGTTCATTATAACCTATGTCCGAAAATCAAACGTTTTGGAGCAAAAAAATGCGGAACTTATTTCTTTTTACTTATTAATACATCTATTTATTAATTAACTGTCTATAACAAAATAATTTTCGTGCTTATTAAATACAATTTTCCGAAGAAAAACAGACAAACGAAATCCCTCACACAACTGGCAACGTCGTACTCCGCCTACACTGCATGTATCATCGCGTGTTGTTGTGATACATTTAACTGTAACTTATGTGATTTACCGATGTTGTTTTATTTTCTTTTTTCGTGCATCGCATTATTTCAAATAAGTGTCTGATAGTCGTGGGAATTCGTGGTGTGTATCGCCACGTACCGGGAGGTTCTGTCATTTTTTTAAGTAAATGTACTGTACTGAAAGCGTTATGAAATAAAAAATATTAGCCACACAAAATTACTTAAAAATATTCAATAATTCAAGGCATATTTTCAACAAAAATATCATACAAACGTAAACAATTCATCAGTAGCGGTCGTCGTGCGCTCGTATCGCGGTTGCGTTGCAGCATTGCCAAATGTTTGAGAAAATTTTATTATTTACGACTCACTTCCCTCGAAAACGATTGATTTTCGGACATAAGTTCTAATGAACTTTTTTGCTTAGAATCGCCTCTTAAAATTACGAATATTATTTCCCTAACACCCTGAATAAATGTGTAGTTTCCAAGTTATCGACTGATGGCTTACTCGTTATAAAAAAATAATTTTAGTTTACTGTGGTTAGCTAACCACGGTGTAAACATGGAATAGGATAGTAAAATTCAAAATGCGGTTGATATGATTGAAAAAGCGTACATGACCATAAACTACAACATCCCGATAGATCCAGACTGATAATTGTCATTGAACAAGCATAAGTCTGCAAGTTACATCAGCAATAAATGATATCTGATTTTTAAAACTTTGTTTCAAAGCATGTGACAAAATTACATGTGTCGTATAATTGATTGATTCACTTACCAAAATAAGATTCAAAGGTATCCGTAGCAGAGGATACCATTTTTGGCCTGAAATAGAAGAAACATAATTTTCAATCACGCAAATACTTCGATAAAAATACAAATTCACAAACTGACAGATGACAGCGTTTATTAATATTGTTGAGACAGTTTTGAGAATAATTGACATGTTGTTATGTCAATATTAATTGCCGCAATATTAGTTTGTCAAATTCAATTAGTTGTATTTAGGATAAAATAGCTAATAAACTTATACTACTAGGTGTTTATATCGTTCAGCCCTTATACATAATATTTGAAATCGTGAAGGACTACAGCCAGGGGACGGAGAACGAAGAATCACATAGGGAGTTTTTAAATAACGTTTTATAGTCCGACGAGTCATGCTTCACTAGACGTGGAGTGGTAAATTTTCATAATCGACATATTTGGTCGCATGAAAATCCGCATGCAGTTCGGGAAAGAAATTTTCAGCATGAATTTAGTGTGAACGTGTGGATTGGAATCTACCGTAATCGACTATTTGGGCCCTACCTTTTGCCTGCAAGGTTAAATGCTGCGACCTTCTTGGAATTTTTAAAGGCTGAACATGCAAATATGTGGGATGATGTTATGTTAGATTTAAGAAGATTGGCCTGATTCCAGCTTGATGGTTGTCCAGCTCATTATTCGAGAATGGTTAGAAACTGGCTGGACGAAAATTATCTAGAAAGATGGATCGGCCGAGGAGGACCAGTCGCCTGGCCTCCACGATCCCCTGACCTAAATCCATTAGATTTCTTTGTGTGGGGATTTAAAAAAAAAAGTGTACCAGACTCCCGTAACCACAAGAGATATGCTGATAGACAGAATCAGGAATGCATGCAACGTTCGATCATTCGTAGATGTGAATTGTGTATTGAACAATTGGGTTTACATTTCGAGCAACTACTTTAGATTTTGTATGTTTTTCCTAACTATCCAATAGCATTTTAGTTGTAAATAATTAATTTAAGTTGTTAAAAATAATATTGGAAAATTAAACAAATTAATATTCTGTTTTTTTTGTGTTTATTTGGAGTTAGGAATTATTGCTGTGTTTAGAAACACAATCTAAACGATCATCTTAATTACTTGTAATGCCCAAATCGAAAATATTATTTTCCCATAAATAATTAAAAATGCATCGAACCTTAAAAATATCTCAAAAACGGCTAACTATAACGAAAACTCACAGGAGAGCTTTTTTATGTTGAAAAGTGCGAAGAATCAGTATTTTTATTCAAAAAGCAAAAAATTGCACTAAGAAAATTTTTTTGGTCATTTCAATACACTACAGGTACAGTAGAGAGCGCCCTCTAGCGGCTACAGTAAAACTATGCCCATGGTTCGTTTTGTCGTACTAAAAAGCCTTGTATACCAATTTCACTGTTATACATCAAATATTGTTCGAAATATTTAAAAAAAACTATTTTAGAAAGTAAATTTAAACACCCTGTATTTCGGAAGCCACGCATTTTTCGACCCATGTTTATATAGACTTTATGCATTAATTTTAAAAGTTCTATCGAATCTTAAAGTTATGCAACAATAAACTGAAACACCCTGTATACTAGCATGATGCAATATTTCAGATTTTAACCATAGTTTTGGAAATGCCCAACATTTTTCATTTTAAATTTTACAAACGCTTTACTTTGGTCCCAGCTGTCACTTTTATTCGCGTATGCTCAGTCAATTATAGGATTACTAATAACTAAACTACATATAATAAATTTTATTATAAATTACAAACCTTGAGAACATTTATTTAAATTTACAACTCACAAATAATTATCACTAAATCCCATTAATATTATTATAATCGACTTTCGAAATGATCAACTTAGTAACGTTAAAAAATGTAGATAAAAAACTCTATCACTTCTGTCACTACTCTTGAGCATTAGAAGTAATATGGAACTATTTTAATCGACTGGAAAACATTTGCAACAGCAAAATCAAGACCAACAATTTTGCAGGTCGAACTTTGATGAAGTTCTCACACGAGATTACTACTATGCCAAGCATGAAAAAGGTTAGTAGTTTTTGAAAATACTTCCAGTGGCGGCGGAGCTATGGGCAAAAGACTAAAAAAAATGCTCAAACTTCGTTTCAGATGCTTTTGATCATTTTCCGAAAAACATTTGTCGGGGTTGGTAATTGGGGGCTGGGGACTTTGGGTGGTGGGAAAGAGTATGTCTCAATTTTTTGGCGCTATTATTTTTATTATAAATTAATTCATTAAAACCAAATAGAATAGAGAAAAATACCTTCGACACTGTTGTTTGGCAGGGGTCACATCCCCATGATGGATCTTACGGTACCGTTTTTACGGTAGATCTACCGTTTTGAGCCTTCCGCTACCCTTCTACCGCAAAACGCTCAATTTCTACCATTTTTTTATCGTACAAATTTTGATCACATTCGTCCCCTCCCCATCCAAATTTTTCAATAGAAAAGAGCAAATTGCTATATTGTTGTTTAGCGTTAACTTTCCACATCCATATTTCATTTTTTTTTCAATTTACAACTTTATTAGACATTTTTTATTTATTAGACACCGTTTTCAGCATTAACCATCTGCTGCCGAGTCTAACCAGTGGATTCATCTACCGGGGAATGGCGACGTTGCCAGATAGGCGGTACTATCGGTAGGGCAGGGAAAAGATGTCGATGGTCTGACTGACATGATCCGTTTAGTTTCTCTATTTTACATGTTCGTAGCTAACTTTTTCTCGGAGGGTAGAACTTGTTCGTAAATAATCTTTATGAACTGAAGACAGCGCCATTCTTTTTGTTGCGTAATGTAGTTAATAATTCGACATCCTCAGTTGTGTTGCGTATGAAAATAAACCACAAGCCTTGTGATGAAATTATTACTGTTGAATGCATACAAAGAAGACAGAATGAACAACCAAAAAATCGTTTCTGGATTTATATGTAACTTTGTTTTTTACTACGGCCAGAAATCATTAATAAACTGACAAACTATATTAATTTACTACTCAGAAATTAAAAATTTATTACATTTGCATGTTAAAAATGCCTCACAAGACTAAACAGTGATTTTTTGGGATGCTCGAGCAATTTAATACCCAGATCACAACTAAAAATTATCCTAAAGATATGAGATAAGAAAGAGAGAGAATGAACGTAGGAGTTCCACAGGAACCGCTCTTGGGGTCAGTGATGCAAAATGTGTTTCATAATAAGATGTTGAAAAGGGCATGGTGGCGGGTGCTACCCACCATGGTGACCGAAACGTTTCCCTTTCGCACAATGGTTTCTTGTTAAAAAGAAATACGTGTAATTGTCATACTTGATGTAACGCCTGAACCTTAGCATACGTTTGAAATATTAAGCATTGACGTGGAATTTCAGCCACCACCTTGAAAAAGGCCGAAACATGGTCGTTAGGAAGTATTAATTTTAAGTATATGTAGTTTGATTCAGCGGCCAGGCAATACTTGTAAATTACAGGGTGCCCCGCGAGGTAAGGGACAACATTTTTCTGCGTGTTCCTCAGGTCAATTCGAGTCGAAAAAGTCGTATGAACATGGGTCAGCAAATGCATTTTTTTATTTTTAGTGGGCGAAAACCACAATATTGTTTTAAAATTGTTTTAATTTAACAAAAAATGTAATTCTGTTCATAAGAAAACAACTGTTTACAAAAAGTAAAGTCTACATTCACGTTGTACTGCCCGATTTGATTTGCTTATTTTGGATGACTTGGGGGGTAGGGGAGTCTAGATGATGATTACGTCATCGGTAGTTATTTACTTTTTTACACGAATGGCAACCCTCATATTGTCTTTGCTTGAAAACGAAACGCATTTTCGGGGATTCCCGCAAATAATGCATACGTTTAGTGAACAGCGCGCGGTAATTCCCCTACTCGCTTTAGAACCGAGTAGGGGAATTACCGCGCGGTGTCTAAATTTCCTCTATTAGTGTATTGTTTCGTTTGGATACTATAGCGAGTAGACGTATTGTAAGCATAGTAAAGCAAGTTAACATTTGTATTACCATTGATTCCATTAGCCAAAGTTTAATGTTTAAATAAGATGTCGTTTCACATAGACAAATCCAAGTTATACCAAAAATTGTACAAAATGTACAAAAGTTAGTTAACGAAGTGTGGCGAAATTACGAATTACAAGCAAAATCCGACAAGGAACTAGATATTATTGTATCTAAGAGAATCGCAGAAGAATTGCAAGCGGCGACTAAGAATAAATTCAATCTACTAAATTTTTTTTCTAAGGTGAGTGACGAAACATTTTAGGTACCTATGAGTACTAGAAATATTAGAAATCGCCAAAAAGTTTCTCTTTACTGATTAGAAAATATTATGGCGTATCTCAAAGTATAGAGGTAATATTCATTATATTATAGATTTATTTCTTATGATTGATTCCGTCAATTGGTCACAAAGTACAGGATGTTAGTTTTATACATATATACAGAAAACTAACACCCTGTATTTTGTGACCGGAACGAATTGCTTGTTTAAACATATTAGATTTAACGCCATAGGGTTTTGTATTTACCATATATATTGCCATACTTTGTATTTATGTAGCTTAATAAGAGAATTTTTAGCAGAAGCCATAGAAAGTTTTTATTTTTAGGCGACCTGTAAACCTGCAGAAAAAACACAAATTATACAGTCAGCTTCAAATATTAAAAAAGAGGAAGAAGATAAAATAAAACCCGGTAATGAATCATAACAGCAATGCGAAATTAATGAAAATACAGATAAAGAGAGCAAAACCTTCTCAGGAAGCTATGAATAATAAGATTGCTCTACTCGAAAAAAATCTGAATGCTTTGTATTCTGCCAGAGATACTATGCCGAGCCGTGCTGAAGTTGATAAACAGATCGTTAAATTGCGCGAGGAAATAAAAACAGCAAAAGTCTTTAAACAGGAAGTTTCAAAACGCAGTTGCCCAGAAGAAACACAGGGATAGTATGAAAAGAAAGTTAGAAGATATTTGTCATGAAAATCCAGAAATAAAAAAAAC